CTTGTCGGCCATGGCGGCCTGTTGTTGGAGTTTTTCCTTAGATGCGGCTAAAATGGCCTGTACGTTATGAGGAAGTCTCGACAGCCAGAGAGATTGTAGCAGGTCTTCGCTAAAATGGTTTCCGGCCATGTCGCGCATCCGTGATAATAGGAAGGATGGACGTTGGTCTCCCAGTTCCAACCCTTGAAGAAGAGTTCTGATTTTGGCGGTCTCGCTCTCGGAATAGACGTCGATGAGACGAGCCTTTAGCGTGGAAAATTTATTCTGGTCGGGCGGGTTGAGGATTAGGTCCTGCACCGAATTTAAAATATCCGGCTCTATTGCAGCAACGACGTGTTTAAATTTGGTGTCGTCGACGGTTATGTTATTTATCGAAAATTGTGCTTCCAACTGAGCAAACCATAAGTTAGGGTTGCCCTTCCAGAAGGGTGGGGGTCTGATCGCAATGCGTGNCACCGAATTTAAAATTTCCGGCTCTATTGCAGCAACGACGTGTTTAAATTTGGTGTCGTCGACGGTTATGTTATTTATCGAAAATTGTGCTTCCAACTGAGCAAACCATAAGTTAGGATTGCCCTTCCAGAAGGGTGGGGGTCTGATCGCAACGCATGCTATGTGACGGTGATCGTCATTAATTTCTGCCTCAGCCATGATGATTTTTTTTTTACGTAGATGTGGCAGTGCGAGGTAGTTATCCTTAAATGATGCGTTGTGCGCACAGTTCAGCACGTGGGGAGAGGACAAAGAACGATGGCACGTAAAGGCACGTGGCGAGTAAACAAAGGATGGCACATGGCGCGAGGACAAAGAAGGGTAGCACGTGGTGTACTATAGCTTTTCGTTGAGAAAAGTCGACCGTCGACGAAAAAATTATCTATGGTTATACGTTTCGAAGGTCTAGTTGTATGAGTTGGCAGTTCCAAAAAAGGATGAAAGTCCAACGTTGTATCCGATGCGAATGGATGGAATTTTCATGTCGCACGATAGAGTCCTTCGTCAGGTAGGGTCACCATAAAACATATATCACGTTCGGCTCACCAGTTTGTGGGTGCCAGTTCGTGTGAAATTACTCATTACAAACAGGGCCACATACAATAAAATATTATCATTTATTCTATATATGAATTATGGCGCGACTGTACAGGTTAAAACACGAGGTGTTACTACACACGTCTGGAGAGGTCCAAATCCAACAAGAATGTGTGTGATGTCATAGGTCAAGCAGGGGTTCCCCTTGTGGCAACTTTGGGGTTTATCGCCAAAGCTGTCGCCACAAAGATCAACATCTTATCTTTATTGCAAGTTTGATGGCTTTAACATACTGGCATGATTTTTTATATCAGTTCATTATTTGAAGAAGAAAAAGAATGATTCTACCAAATAATAGTTTCTTAATTTTTTAATGATTAAATGGAACAATCTGTATATATAGCAGCATAGAAATTGCATCATCTATGATATATATACCATAAAGCATTCAACAGATATGAAAAGTAGCATATTTAAGCTATGCAAGTTTTAATGATAACATGTAGTACAGGGGAAAAGCCAAGAAGAAGAAATCAATAAAAATACAATTTATTTCATATAATGCTACATTGAAATTAAGTGTTATTTACACCATAGACTCATAAATACTGTTAATGAGCACTGTCACAAGAATACCCATTCAGTTATGGAAGCAATAAAAGGAATTCACAGTGTAAGTAGGCCTGAAAAACATAACATGAACAAGTTTATTTCTGGTTGAATGGGATCCCAGTACTTTGTAGAGTCATCCTGAGCCTACACAGTTTTGCAGTGTTTCAACATAGTAAATGAGTGTATTCAAGTATTCTATATCAAACTTGTGATACCAAACTCTTATAATCACTTCTGCAGTTGCTATTTATTTTCAGACTTCTTATCTGAAATTTTTATATCCACAAATATGCTAGCAGTTCTTAATAGGATTGAGATCAGAACTGTTACCTGGCCAGTTTTGCCATCTGATCTGGGCTAGGCCTGTTGTAAGAAATTTTTTTACCTAAACAACAATTTGTGTGTCAGTTTAAGTGATGATAATGCTAACAAATTGTAGAAAAAGGGCAGATTATACTTTACTCACCATCTTGGTACAGTGATATGGTGTAGAGTTGTCCTTGAAGATACAGGATTTATTTAGTGTCACAAAATTGTTCCTTGATTATTGGATTTAGCTTGGCAGGTAAGATTTTTTTTTAGAACACTGCATTCACAACCCATTTACAAAGTATGGTCTGTTGATATCTGTACTGGCTAGCACTCCCATACCATTTGACTGACTGGAACTTACTATCTGCATCAAGCAATTCCTGTTTTAGGCTTCATCTTTTCTTTGCCTAACATAGGTTTACTATCAGATTTTTGCAGGTTAAATTTGGATTCATATGAAAACATAAGAGAATCTCACATGTCAGTACTCCAGTCCACACTACATTTAGCTCAGATAAGCTGCTGTCCACACATTTTACTTGTTATTAACAGCTTCTTAAGTGGACAGTAGTCTTATAACCCCATGTTAAACATATAATGATGATGCACAGTTCTTGCATTCACTTTTACACCTATTTGCTCTTTCCTTTTACTTTCAGTTTGGAAGAGCTAGCAGAATGTTCTCACATGCCAAGATACTTCTGTATTATATTCTGGCATGGTACACTCACATGTTTACCTCAGCTTTTCTTTCAATGTTTTCTTTATAAAAAATGTAAAAAATGTGCAATTATTGATTGATAAAAATGTATTCTTTGCACTATTTTATGAGAGAATAAATCTTCAGCATTTAGAGCAATTATAGACATTTTAAATGGAGTTAACTGTTAAAAATTTTCCATTTTTACATAAAGTGTACACATAAAGTCACACTAGTTTTTATACCAATGGAAAATGCAGTCATCAAAAACATTGTTGCATTAGCCAATGTTTTTAATGGCTGCATTTCAGTAAACAAAAAATGTTTTATGATTTCATTGATGATGCAATCTGTATGGTTTCTTACAGATCTGCAGCAGTGATACTTTAATTTAAAAATAAAAATGCATTCCTGTCCAGTTGCACATGTAAAAATTTCAAGAAAAATGCAGACATAATTTATGAGCAGCCCCACTGAGTGGTAGACTGCCTTTACTGTCTCAGCCATCAGGCAATATTGTAATATAATAAATATCTGTATAATTATGTATGGTGCCAAAGTCAATAGTGTGCAACCAATAAATGCAGTTTTCATTATACAGTTTTTATGTAATTTATTTATTATTTTCATGCTTTAATTTGTTATTAGAACATTTAATTGTGTTATTTTTGCCTTAAATTATGTGTATTTACTGTCCAGTCTGGTCTAGCAGTTGTTAGATTTTGGAATATTTTCAAATTGAATATAGTGATTTTGTTAGAATTATTGAATTTAATGATATTTCTGATATAATTTAATGATATTTTACTTTTGTTATTTCTCATTAGTCATAGTTTAATTATTGTAAAAGCCGTATGCTATATTGCTTTCAAACATGATAACACTAACATATAAAACAAACTGGAACAAATATCAAATATCAAAGTTAACTTGGAAGAGGCATACCACCTTTAACACCCATCACGTTAGATCTTTTGATCTCCTGCAGATCTTTATGAAGGGTAATGAAGGGAGGGAAGTGCATCAATTACAAAGACAACGGATTCATTATTGCATATCTAGAATTTTTATACAATACCCCATAGTTGAATGGATGGGATGGCTGGAAGGCTTTTTAGACTTTCTGAGAAGGATATCATTTGTTATTATTTCATATAGGATATATGAATTTTATTTATTTTCTATATTATCATTTTTAGTTTCTACTTTTATTATATTTATTTTATGTGCTTCTGGTGGAATATCAGTTTAAATATACTCCAAATTTTTAAATCTGTTAATTTGCTTGTTATGTTTGTTATGAAGAGAATTCCATTTTGTTATTTTGAACCTGATGAAAGCCTATGAATGTGGCTGAAAATGTTAGTTCAATAACATGTTCAGTAAAGAATTATTGCAGGAAGGATAGTGTTTGTATGTGAGATTTGATGACAATATTGAAACATGTTGCTTTTATATTATGAGACCTTTCTAAGATATGATATAGATGTACGAGGGGGCTTCAAAAAGTTCATGGAAAAAGGATAGTATGAAAAAATGATTTCAGTTATGACATTTATTTTTCAACATATGTTCCATTAAGGTCGATACACTTCTGCAAACATGATACCAGCCTTTAAGTTCGTCTGAGTAGAACTGAGGGTCTTGTGATCTGAACCATGTCAGAGCAGCTCTTTTTACATCTTCAACTGATGGGAAATTGGTATCTTTCAGCAACTTATCCATTTGTAGGTTGTTGACTTCTTTGGAGTGTTATCACCATAAACTTGTTTCAGAGCATTAATGATTTGCCTGTTCTCCCAACCAAGTTTCACCATGAACTTTATGTTTGTTCTGGTCTTGAGTTTGATGGATTCCACGTTGCTTGAATGGTGCTTGACTTTCAACTGGTGGCACTGCGTTCTTACCTGCATTTAAGGGTTCATGTTTGAACATGTTATAACATGTTGGTACAAGAATGTTCAGGTGCATTGAAATCAAAATCCTTCCAAACAATTTTTAGTTACAGATTCTTTCCATGAACTCTTTGAAGAACACATGTATTTTATATAGAGTATAGCTTCAACACTGTCTTGGAAACAATAAAATATAATTAAACTTTCAAATTTATATAATGATAAATCTGTAAAAATCTGAAAGTATTCAGAATATACAAAATAGCCCATTAACCATGTGGAAATTAACATTTAATTGTTTAGAGGATCATTTGTTATAATTTTGAAAATTGGTATTCTTATAGCCCATTATTTAATTCAAACTTGTAATTTATACTTAAATAAATTTTAATAAAAATAATTTATATATTAAATTTAGATAAAAAATTTTAATTGCTTCCATTTTGTTATAGGTGTTCCTTTGACAAAATGCTCCATAGCTAATTACAGTCATGGTCATCGACCACCATCTTCATTAACAGCAGTTTCACCTGACGGTTCATTATCATCTCAAGAACACTCTATTCACAGCTTGAGTCATCAGACAATTGGATCTGGACATGACGTATGTTTGTAAATATAACTATTATTAAACATTTTCTAATTATTAGTTATTGAAAAGAATATGATTTGATAATTTTAGGAGCAGTCAAGTCCTCGTCATTCTATAGCATCAAATAACAGTTCTACTCTGAGCTCTCCTCCAAGTCCAGGTGAACATAGGGATCAAGGATCATCCAGTTATGAATCTCAGAGTTAGATAAATCTTAAAGAAGTAGAATGTATGTTTAGAAAAATTTACAAATGCCATACAGAAAGAAAGAGAAAGAAAGAGTAGTAATAGAAAACTGCTCATAGTACTATATGTATCATAGGGGACAATAAAATAATAGACTTCATGAAAACCAATGAGCATACAATGCAGAAAATCATAACACCTGGACAATAAATGTATCCAGCACATATAACAATGATGCACTTGCTCTTCATGCAGTGTCTTTTCTCTGAAATATCAGAAAGGTTTTATTTGATTGTACTGAAAGATGTTTAAATGACCAAACACTGCCAGAAAATTTGGTGGTGCTACAGAACTTTTTACACTTTTTTCTTATAGAACTGGTTTATAAATAAACTTTATCATGTTTTGTACTTTTTTATTTAGTTACAAAGTCATTTATAACACTGAAATGTTAGAATTTTATGTCCCCAAATTTGTGTTTAATCATTGTCTTAGTCCATAACTGATCAAAATGATATGGTTTAACCTGCATTAAAAAATATATTATATATACATATATATTTAAAAATTTTAAAATTGCAGGCCTTAAATATAAATCAAAAAATACTTTTTATTTATTTAAATCAATGATTTATCAAATTTTTTGTATATAAAACTGTGATTTGTTGACCTGTGACAAATATAAAGTTTGGCTGTGTTATGTTTTTATGGATTTAAAATTATTAAATATATTATTATTATTATTATTATTATTATTATTAATTATTATTATTATTTTCTTTTTTTCTAAGGAAATGGCTTTTTTCATTTTTGTAAAATTATTAAAGCAGCCATAGTTTCAAAAATAGACATACCAAATATTATTAAATTTTCATAATTGCTATTTAAATTTTGTTTTACTAATATTCATACAAGCGTGTGATTTAAAAATCATGTCATCATATCCTAATTGATGTCTAGTAAAGAAAATTCTGTAACCAGTTGTTAAAAAGTTGTAACAGACTACTACTCATGTGTTAAATAAAACAAAAAATACACTTTTAATATATTATGATTTTGCTTTCTATTCTTCTTATAATTTTTTTAATTAGAAGTATACATAAAATTAAAATATAATTAAATTTCAATAATAATATGAGCTTATGATGTTTAGTCTAAAAACTATTTAGAGAATATAATCTCTAATCTTTAAATGTTTTAAAACAGGTAAAAATATATATATATATATTATACATACATATATTTTAAATGGTTAAAATGAATGATTTAAATGAATAGTTCTTGGTTATATTTAACTGAAATAATATTTAATAGTTTTTTTTATTGGGCTCCAGAGAACAGTTAAATTTCTAATGGAATATTCTTCATGTTCAACTAAATCAAAGATTTATGAAGCAAATGATTAGACCTGAATGACTTTCCTTTCCTTTTTTTTAAATTGCTGAAAATAAGAAGAGTTGGACAAGAAAGTATTGCCATTAGTTCACTGTCATTTACTATAATCCAAGTATTATATCATTATAACAAGAAATTCACTTCTATTCATTTTGTCTATGATGAATACAATTTCATCTTTTCCTTGTCACCAGATTCGTTATCTTAAAGCCTGAGTGATTTAGTTATGTCTAAGTCAATAGTTGATGTCCCCTCTTAAACCTTTCAATCATTTTCAGTATTCAGTGGAGACATGCTGATATTTCCTCTGTTCTGCATTAATCAATAGAATGATATAATATTAAAGTTTAGGTAATTACAATCATAATATTTTAAAAATGAAATTGTTGGTTTATAGATCAAAATATATATTCTTATTTATTTATATTTTAATATAATTTTTCATATTAAAAATAATGTATAAAGAATTTTCAATAAGTAAAATATACATGAATTTTAAGTTTTTTTTTTTTTTTGGTTGAATGACAAACAATTCTTTTAGTTCCTTTGATATAAGCAATGGAAATTACTATTAAGGATATTTTGCATAATAATATGTTTAAAAATTTATGTATAGTATTATTCTAATATTAAATAAATTGCAGTAGTAATAAATAACAGTCTTAAAAATTGAGGATTTTTCTCATCTGAATATGTAAATACTTTGACATTTAATCACATAAGTACAGCCATCAATCATTTGTTACAAAATAAGTATTGACAAAATTATTCAGTTTCCTTTTTTTGTTTTAGTATTTCATCCTTCAAAAGAATAAAACACACATCAGTAATATTTATTATTTCTTTTATTTTTATTTGACATTTTCTTTCTCAACTCATCAATCTAAACTTGATAATCCTAGATATATTTTCTTATCACCAATTATCATAAATAATGTTTTATTATTATACAATTTTGATTAAATTAATTGATTTTAATAATCTGGCATTTGAAATTGATTATAGTAATATTAATAAATGATATATATTTATTATTATGTAGGTATTTTTATCGAATTTCTCCAAGTTCTTGAAGTAAGGTGAACCTCCCTTTTTCAGTATTCAGTAAAGTAAGCTACGTGTAATATTTCTAAAATCTTAATTCTTTAAAGACACATGCCTCCGCCCAAAGTATTGAATAGTAATTGAAGCGTGACATTTTCAAGAACGAATTTGGGCATTGGGGATGGAGTGTAATAAAATCTTTTATAGTTTTATAACCAGCTTAATTTCGTCAGAACATATTAAAGTGCGGAAAGTGAAGACGAAACTAATAGTAGTCGGTTAAATATAATAGGAATATATTCTTAACTAAACAGGAAACTTCAAATTCACTCAACGTGCAATCTCATTTATCTTGTGCAAGCTACGTGATTACCCTGCGGAGATGGGGCCATTGTCAAAAGCCCCTGAGATAAATTGGACGTTGAATTATTCTAATTTAGAAGTTCCATTCAACCCGTTTTTGAAATGCATTAAATTAACCAAGAAGGCTTTTTCCCTCTTTACTTTTCTTCAAAATTCATTTCTCCTCCTTTATCATAAAAAAAAGTTCATAAAATTTCGTTACCATAAGGTATTCAAATACAGTATAAAGATCGGAAAGTTTTATAAAGGTTGGTGGTAATTTGCGAAGAAGAATTGTAAAGTTCTTTTACCTTCTTTACGCTCTCTTGATTTCTAAAGTACTAGTTTAAAATGCATTCATTGATTTTCGGTTTAGATATCTAAACCGAATGGAACGTTATACGATCGTCCCGAATGTCTGTCTGTCTCACCAATTTTCTTATCTGTTTTCTGATAATTTTTCATATGTTTTATAATAAGAAAGATGCATTTATTATTTGATCCTAGACGACTTCAGATTATCTAGAGTAATGGCTCCAATTGTAATTTAAAATGAATAAATTATTAATAAAATTGTTCTTGTTTCAGCATTGTATTTTCTTCTCTACGTGATAATAAAATTACGTTTATTTTTAATAATTCTATTCTTCTTTTTCTCTAATTAATGGTTTTATTTTACTTTTTTTTAGACCGGGGAAAAAATTCCTTCAGAGCTATTTTATTCCTTTTGCTGTTAATGTAGAATCGAAGGAATAATACAAGTTAAATGATAGAGTTTTTCAGCTATTTTCCTTTTTCTTTCTTTCCTTTTCTTTTGTAGGCGATCGAGGAAATGACCGAGAAATTTTCTTTCGGAACAATTCTATAGAAGTGTATTGCTAAGAGGACGGACGAATCAAAGTCAGAATGACATGGAAAATGGTCGAAAATTGTCCTCTCCGTAAAGGAAATCCCATCCTACAATTTTAAAAGAATGGAGACGTATAGTAGCTACGAAACACCTTCCAGAAGAAAAGAAAACGAAAATTGACGCGGAAAACAATTTTTAAAATTGTAGTAAGTTTAAACTCCGGTAAATGGAGTCGAAATGGAGACAATGCAAATGGATGATGAGATACTTGAACTGATTTGCTACATACTTAACCAGTAAATGGAAATTTCTGATTGAAACCGAACGAACAAAAAGAAAAACGAGAGTAGGGGAAAAAAATTAATAAAGTAAATCTTCCGATGACGTCAACACTGTTTATTTTAATTTCCGTTCGTTTTCTAGAATTGGTTTTTAAGAAAGTTTCACCCTTTTTCTCACGACAAATCAATCGGTTCGATTAGCGATTTTCCCTTTCGCCAAATCTTCATTTAATCATTTCGTTTTGATTAACGGATTTCGAAGACTTCGATTAAATTAGAATGGCATTTGAAATGATTTTCAGTTTTCTTTTTCGAACATCGAGTTGACTGATAGTCTTCTTTCTGTAGAAATCAAAATAAATAAGACTTGATGACTTCTAAGCAGAGTAGCGGAAGTACAAAGAGATGTGTTCGAGATTCGACTAGTCACGTGGAACTCCAATCAGTAAGTGTTGACATTTTCAGTTTTTCTTAGCGATTAACTCGTTTTCGGTATGAACGGTTGAGTTAATTTTAGAACATCTTCATCCATTTCCTTGAGAAATTAATATCAATAAGACTTATAGAAATTAATTATAAATGTTTACCTGCATAAACTCTGACGCATTATTATAAATTTGACTTCGGATCGGGAATTAAGTGTGAAACGTGTTTCCGCTCTTAATATCATTCTGCCAACTCCCCGATCTCAATTGATTTAGCCGTGCCAACCCCCAGTCTTCGGTTTATTCATCTCGCACTTATCTCCATCCTAACTCCACTGTTTAAGACTTATTAACAACCGGCCGACGAGATAAATCAATGATTTATAGTAGTGCGAACACACCCAGCTTTCTGTACTTTATCTTCTACAGTCGCCATCTTGATTCTACACTACTTGGCTTATCTTCCACTTTATAGAATGTTTGATTAGTATTAGTGCATAACACAATACGTCTCAAAGATCGTTATTGGACCTGTTCGTGTTGCGATGTTTCGCTTAGATAAATTCGCAATTTATGTTTCAGGGTTCACTTTATGCGTTCACTTCATTTGTTCCAAGATTGTCTCGGAGATTATAATAATTTCAGTTTAATTCGTGGTTTATATATATACATATACAGTCTACAGTGTTATCTTTAAGAACCAAAAATTCTATTCGTCCGCCTGAAATAATGGGAGAATGAAGTAATTTAACAAATTCAATTGTATGTGATGAGTCGAAAATCAAAAATGCCGATGTGATCGAAGAAACATTTTCACTTTTCCGTATTCGTAGTGTATTTAGAATTCAGTTCGTGTTTTAGTTGCTTCTCTATCGCAACTACAATATAATCTTGATTTATCGTGATTGCACGCCTAAGTTTTAAACAATAAATGCGAAAAAAATGGACATCAAATTATTCACTTTAATCTTAATCAGTGAAATTGTTTTCATCACATAAGTTATATACGATTATCGTTATTTAGCTTTAAATAAATATAATTATCGAGCAAGTGTTAAAATATAATTATCGAGCGAGTGTAGAAGTTATGATTTTGAAACTAGATTTAAAGGAATTTCTTAAAATTAGATCGTATGTTTTGTTGTAATTATTGAAAAGGAACATTAATTAAGATCGTTCCTCCAATGTTAAACATAAATATATAAGAATTCTTTTTTTTTCCTCCTAGGATAAAGTAAAAATTGCCTTCAGTAGTAAAGAAAAGAAAGTCATTTCAGTCATTTCGAATGTCGAATATTTTCTGCGAGTGGAATGTCGCGTTTGTCACCGAAAATTTAATCCGAATCGTTTGGACGTTCACGTGGCCATCTGTGAGAAAGTATTTAATAAGAATCGTCCGGTTTTCGACTCCAGAAAACATAGACTTAAAGGCACTCCTTTACAAGCTTATCTGCCGTTAATTTTGAGGAGATTAAGAGAGCCCAAAATGCAGTATACTCAATGGAGACAGAAGCACGAGGAATTCATTCGTGCCATGAGAGAAGGAAGACGAGTTCAGTCGTATATATCCAGGGGATACGATTTGTCTAAGTTGCCTCCTCCCACACCATCACTTAATCCATATTACATTCGTTGTTGTTACTGTTTACGTAGATTTGCGCCTAAGGTGGCGGAAAGGCATATTCCTAAATGCCAGTATATCGAATGTAATAAACCGCATCTCAAAGAACCTAAGACCAATCGGGAACCGGATTTGTCTAAAAGTCGTACAAAACGTGATCCATCCCCATCTAAAAAGCCAACCAGACGTAACATGGTTCATTCTAAGAAATCCAGCATAGGGTGTCCTTGTAAATGTTTATCTAAATGTTGTAAACGACTGCGTAAAAAGTCGGACGAGTTACTGAAGATTGCGGATGATTTTAATTCATTACTGTCGACATCTACCAGCGAAACCGTAATTTATAGAGACACAGACTTCATCCCATTTTGCTTCTGTGCAAGTAGCGTCGCTTCTAACAAAGATTTCCATCGGAATCGAGAAATTAGTGAAATAAAATATTTACATTGCACTCAAACTTCTCATCTGCTAGATTATGATAAAAATCTGCAACAAACCGAAAATATCGAACGTTCGTTTCTTTCGAAAAGGCAAAACGACAATTGTCAGTTTCGTCCACAAAGAAATTCTACGATGATAACGCATACAAAGCCTATTAAATCGCGTAGTAAGATACTTCTCCTCACAAACGGCGACAGAATACAACGAGATATATTAATTAAATATTGTGATTACAAGTGCAAATCTTCCCCGGAGCAGCAGTCACAAATGGATTTTACTGGAAAACCACACGAGAACGAAGCGACAAATTCAGATTTTGGATCGTCGTCCGTTCAGGGTGATAAATCAGAAATGTCGTCGGTCCGTCATCGTCCGGCACAATTTAACTGCGAAAGAGAAAAGGCGAAGTTGTCTTCTATACCGCCCATTTCCAGAATGCAGACTGCGGATACGGAGTATTATTTAAGGTCGTAGGCAAAATGGAAGTTTTGAGCGTCGAGAGAGGCAAGATTTTCCAGACCGATGTTTTTTCCCTATCTCTTTTTAATAAAGAGCTTTTATTCGACTCGATCCCGCTTCACAAATGACTTTCAATGGCTTAGACACGTTCAATTAACTATAGTTGCGATGCTGTCAGTGCGATTGGCTACACTGTCATTCTTCCACTCGAAATTCGCTCCGATTGTCCACTTGGAAGCACACTCGCATCTTTCTTGATCTTCCGTACCTAATCTGTCTGTCGGAACGATTGTGCAGGAAAAACGTCAAACTTTTTCCCCTCTTATCTAGCATCTAGTAAATAACTCCTCCATCTCGATATTCCGTGCCAAACCCGCTACTTTCTAAATCGACTTGGCGTGGACCAAACGGATTTGTCATTGACAATTCTCCGGAATTTTCTCCCTTCCGCAAATTCCGTATTCTTTCCCTTCACCTACCGATGTTAAGAGGAATGGGGGGAATAAAATAAGATTCAGTTCTGTACCGTAACCAAAACGATTCGGTACCGGCGTGTGGCGGGTGAGCATATTGCCACCCTACACGCGAGATACCACTTAGGAGGTGGGTTTAGGCCGAGAACACGTGGACATTCACATGCATCTATTTTATTGGTACCCGTCTATTTTATTTTAAATCGGCGCGTGTTTACTAAATTAGAGGTTAATTTGTTTTATAAGATAATCTGCATATTTCTGTCTCCGTGTAAAATCGCTAGCGATATGGGAGGCGCGGTCAAATGGTGTTTGCCTCTAAATTAGTTGTAGTAAATCATATTATCTATTTTCTCCACCCCGTGTCTCCTTGACGATCCCAATACCTTATAAATCTTGTCGCCCGTGGGAACTTTACCAGATATTTCACTGTCTACTTACACGAGAGGAATATCTCGTGTCCTTTCGTGATGTGTGTATTTTGCATGACATAATAACTAGACTCGGGCGGATACGGCTCTATCCGCACAACTTGAATAATAATAGAAACGGTGCTATGTGTTCCGCAAATTAAATTATATTCGTATTAATTCAATCGTAACCTACTCGAGAATTCAATAACAAGCAAATTAGTTACGGTTGCCGACATCCGACAAATGACACCGAGAGATGACACTCTGCACCGATAATTATATAAAGAAAATTAGTTTGAAAATTATAATTATACCGGCGAACGAAAATGAAAGAAAAATACAATAATTTCCATTTAGGAACTAGTTCTTTTGATGGCCAACTCTCGGGGATTTGTCGGAGGAAGACAGACAAATTCCTAGCGAAGCACAACGTAATTTACACCTTTTCCGTTCGGGCGTTAATGGATTGAAGGGACCTAAATCGACAAAACGTCTGCAGCCCGGTAATGATTTTTGAATTCTCGGGTGATTATAAAAAACCAAATATTGTACTTAATTAGCGGAGAGTGCACACGATGAGATGTCTACTTTGGCTTTAACACTTTGCTTGTGCGTGAGTCAACAGGTGAGTCATCTCTTGAACTGACTGGCTCGGAGCCAGGCGCCGGTTCTGTCGATTCCAGTTGACAGGAATATATTAAATCACACAGTCAATAAACTGGCAAAAAGGCGACATGTTGTCGGCGAGTAGAATCTGTTCAACGATGTAAAAATGAGTCCACTCGCTTTTAAGTAAGTTTGATAGAAGAACTCGCTTCCGAATAGGAAATCGTCCAATATTTTCAAATATTATAACAGGTGTTGTTTGTTTATCTGTTGCTGGATAATTCGCCAAACTTCTACATTCTGTCATAACCAAAATTTGCATTTATACTACTTTGATTAATATTCGCTTCAACTTTTTCAACTTTTCATTTTGTCTAATCTAAAAAAAATTTCCAGTAAAACTCGTCCCTAAAATTAAATACATTCTAAAATACAAGCAAAACAAATTGTAAATTATGACTCCATATTAAGAAAAATCATTTAAATTACTTATTTTAGAATTTCATTTCTGAAAGATAAATAGCACTAAAAAACAATCCGCATCATTAAGCAAATTTGCTTCATTCAAACTTTTCAATTCTGGTTTTTCTTTCGAGTTTTGTGTAGCAGTCTTTTATATTATTTATTTTCCAGAGAAAACCGCCGCGACAATATTTAAAATTCTGCATGTCTTTGATTTATGAGCTGTCTTCGACTCACGTGCGATGCACGAAAAAGAAAAGTCCCAGCATAATTCGAAACCAAAATTGATAGTAATCTGTTAAAACGCATTTTTTAAAAGAGTTCCACGTACTTAATTTATCGATCTGAAATGCTACAATCTTACTAAAATATTTTTATCTGCCGGGATTTATCCATTTTACCAAATCAGGCGTCTACCGGTGCGATATTTATGCAGATATCAATATGCTAAAAGGGAAAAATTACTCCGAAATTGCAAACATTTAAGGTTTGAAACGATTACTTATACTGTATTGGAAAAATAGAATTGATCCTGTAAATGTTACTTTCCTGCAGCATTCATTGTATTTGCGATGAAGCCGCACTCCACCACGACTACTATATTCTGTTGAATTAATTCCTTTAATATTTTTAATTACCGTGGATAATTTAATTATATTAACATATTATAATTACCGATGGTAAATCAGGTCAGATATATAAAAGTGCGTAGATTGGGCGGAGTCATCTGTCAACTGAAGTTTCGAACCATAAAGCTTTCTATCGAATTAACCTTAGGGTCTGAACTAATTAATTTTATTACTGAAACTTATTTATTATTCTCGTTGGATTACTCATTAACCATTTATTACATTAATTTATTTACCTGGAGATTTTTTCAAGTTTAAGTATGTTACCTGACATGGATAATGTAATATCCAATACAATTTTTTTTATTTTAATTACTCTACTGTTGTATTTATCTAGATCAAACGTGGTAATAAATTTTAAAATACAGTATATAATCTGAAAGCTTTACCTACGATAATCGATGATAATCTAAGATTTATTATTCATTGGAAGATGTATTTTGCTGACTTACAAATGCGGCTGTTACGTTTTTCTTCGAGCGAAGTGAACAATTAAAGACTTTTCTTAATAATAAATGGAAGGTTTTTCGAAAGCATTCGTTGAAGTAACCGTAAATAATGACATTTATCCATCCACTGAGAAGAATTAGAGTTGTGCTGACGTAACGTAAAACACGTCGAAACTGAAATTGAAAATAGAAAAAAATATATTAACGTTTAATAAACAAAAAACGTCTTAGTGTGTTAAAATTTAATTTTAATTAAAAACGATTATTTTTCGTCTTTAACGGATTGAAAATCTAACCCCAAAAAAACTCACTCTAATAGAACTTTACCGGCTGCGATTTAACTATTAATTATTTTCGCAGCTAAACTAAATGACGTTAAAGATTTCATTAAATACCACGCTTTAAAAAAAATGTTGAAATTATAGAGGTGAAAGACACGTAGAATGGATTTTGCTGACGACTGTTTGGTTGATGACAGGTCTCAAGCAGATTCGAAATAGATATATGCCATTCACAAAGTCCATTTCACTAATTGCTACTTACCTTCCTGACTGCGGCGGTGTTGCTGAAAATATCTCTATTGAAAAGACCCAGCAGATGATATGGCAACCAGCAAACAGCAAAAATCGAAGATATCACAACAATCATTCTTATAGCTCGACGTTTTCTCCGATGCGCAATCATATTCGGTGTAGTATCTTGGGACTCCTTCAAAACTTTTATAGCGCGACGGTATAGATCGGTGACAATCATCACAGGAACAATATAAGCCACTATCAAATCCATCACGTTGAAAACCAATTCTTCTCTATCATTCAATTTACATGAGCTCATCTTACGAACGACCACGAATCTGGGGAGGACATAAAGTAGACCGGAACACCAAATGAAAAAAACACATAAGAAAGGACGTCCCTGCCGAAGATTGAGAGGACGAACGATGGCTCTGTGTCTATCCATGGCAATGGCTACAACGGAATAGATGCTGTTAAACAGTGCCACTTCCAAAAGAAAGCTTAATTGAGAAATCAAGCATAAGTGTGTCTTGGACAGTTTTTCTAACAAGATCAAAGTATTTATGGGGACTATCACCGAAGAAGCCAAGATATCTGAGAAACAAAGAGAAAGGACGTAATAGTTGAAAGCTTTACGAAGAATCGGTTGAGTGACAATAGTGACGATAACCGTGGCACAACTGAAGATGATTAAAACAAACAAAACGTTGTAAATGGCGCACATGGCAATTTTTTCGCTGCTAGCGTATCTATTTACTGTCGAATTCGACATATTTAAACCCAAGTCTGTGCCTTATCGTTTTATACGCTACTCCACTTACACTTTATATAACATCGTTTCTGTTTCTAAGTGCCAAAGGAGTGTTTACTTCCAAGATTAAGTTTTCTATCAGATCCAGTTTATGAAACTTGACAATGATATTAATTCTGACGTCGTCGAGTTTCATTCCATAAACAGTTATAAAAGAATGAATTATTCTTATTTAAATTTTAAATCAACTGTAAAATTACGTTATAGTATATAAAGTTTCGTATTTCTTACGCGCCAACGACTCCGCCCAATTTCTTGACTCTGATGTCTAAGTTTCTATGCAAAATATCGATCGTAGGGATTAAGTTAAGAGAAAAGCCATCGTAATTCAGAATCAAAGACTTAGATACCATATTTTATTATATTCTTTATCACTTTGTATGTAAAAAATATATACGGTTATTTACGGTAGGTCGTAAAAAACAGATATTTGTAGTAAGGAAAGAAATTATAGAACTGATAAATATTTCATCGTCGAAAGTATAGGTAACAACAATAACAAATTATATTAACAATAATGAAACATTAATCTAGATCGGTAGTAGGTACATTAACGAAAACATCATTAGGTCGTAATGGGCGCGTGACGTATACGGCATTTTAAATAAACCATAAACATCCGAAATACTTCTCTCGGCTCTGTATATTCCTATTATTGTAGTAATTTGTAAGTGACTATAAGGAATATTCAGCCTTATGTAGCGGAGACGTCTCCGCCCCGAACTGCTATACTACCAGCGGAGTAACGACTATCAGACACGACATAGAAGCGTTACGCAGCGGGTATTTCCCACAGCCCTGTTAATCTGTACCAAATACTACAAGCATTAATGAAGTTAACAGTTACAAGTCACATTGGGACTATCACCGCTCGTGTAACTCATCGAACGGAATTAACCGTCTTTATTTGCAGTTGTTTTCTAAGAACCGTATTTTATCCCTCGGTTCGGCAAGGTCGAAGCGATAAACGATACAGTTATGACTTTGTCATCATTTATGAGTTACTCTCATTACAGTTTTAATACGATCTCTCTAGAGCCTTTGCAACGGCCATCAACCATTCCCACGTGATTTCCTCTTCCAATAGAAAAATGCTTTACAAGTAGACAATGGACGAATTTTATTTCTTCCAACTTTTTTTTAAAGCCAATCCCGTTTTTTACTGTCTTTTCGCTTTAAAACGCCGTAAACTGTTGCTCCCTTAGTGTTTCCCCCTTTCTTCTATCTTCACAATCGTCCGAGCGAATTTAATTTAAATAAATTGTTACGTTATTAAGGTTTTACGAGAATTTCCTTTATCGTAATTTTAAGGTAAACCGTTTCATTGTAATACGTGTAAAGTGCGGTTAAAATGGTTAAGTGGCGACTTAGACGTCTGCGGATTATATAAAGAGAAGATATATTGTGATTTTATATACATCCTTGGAGATTTTGTTATCGTCCTCCCCGAAACCAATACAAAAATGGTAGATTTTATCGTGATGAAAACCTTTACTTGTCTAACTCTGTCATATATATAAAACTGGACCAAATGGTCTTGAGATTTTAAGTCTCCATTAACTGTCCATGAAAACTGAATGACCTCGATGGTCTACAAAACATGTAAATCCAATGATCTTGTATGTTTGCTAATTAACTGCCGATGTAGTTCTGAAAGAAAAAAAAACATGCACCATCGACTACTTAATTTCTTTTTTCTTTATTCCTAAAAATATAAAAATGTAATTCTCCAAAGAATTTAAAAATAAAAATTGCGTTTCTAGGTTAAAATTCTGAAAAACTTGTTTACAAATTTAAGAGTTATATTAAAATATTTCATCTAAAAAAAATGGTAAATGATTTTTCGAAAAAATCATCAAGAAAACTTTGCAAATAAATATATTATTTAAAAAAAATAAAATAATCCTGAAGATATTTAAATGTAAAATGAAAAAATAAATGGTCTTTATCCTTTAAAAATTCATTTTATTTTTAGATTTTTATTTAAAAATATATAAATTATATCATTCTATAGTAAAATTAATTTTAAAAAAACACATTTCAGTTAATGTAACTTAGATTTAAACAGTTAATAATAATTAAATTAATTTTTTTTTTATCGTAACACTTCTTTACGACGAAATTATTGGTCATTTTCAAATTAACGACTTTTTAATTAACCAATAAGAGTTTGGAAATTTTAATCATATCTTATATGTTGCACTTATTGCTGGAAAACGTTACGGTTGTTATTAATGCGTTGTTAGGTTACGATATTAACGTAACAATCTTCTTTTTTTATTATTTTGGTTGGCGTGCGTGATGATTGTGATTTAGAAACGGAACGTCTAAATGAGCGCAATCTATTCAGAAATGTATAGAATGATTAAAAAACTGTTTTGCAAATGAAAATTTCATAAATAATTTTCAAAATACATTTCAAGAATATTAATTAGAAACTATTCGATTTTTAAACTTTTATAAATGTTAATTAAAACCGAAGATAAAGTTTGAAAATTTTTAATTAGAATATTATTTTTTTTAAATAAAAAAAGGTAATTAATTATCCGGCACGTCAACTATTAACGATATTTAAAAATAAATTTACTAGAGGATTTTTTTTTTTAAAGTCGAAAAGTGTAATGGGTCGGATTTGTTAGCCGGTAGGCATCAATTGCCAAAAATGTAATTATTTATAAAGAGGAAACGATGGCACATCTACGTAGACGATAATGCGGCTCTATCAGATCCTCGTTCATTCAAAGACGAATGGATTTGTGATTATATTATACAAGAGTTGAATATGGCGTTTATGATGCAAATGAGGTTATTATCGGGTTTCCCCCATAAAGAGATAATTCTTTCCGGTTTTGCGCCGTAATAAATATTAAAGTAAACACATTTAAATATTAATTCTACATATTATTTTCGGGACGATGTAAAGAATTTTCATTTTTACTTATTCATTAAAGGATCCGCTGTTAAACGGTAACGATAATTGTTACACAAAATTAACTCTTGTATCGCTTCCAGCACAAAACTAAAATATAGTTTACGCTTTAACCTGTGAACCGGATAGCGGCTTAAGCCTGTGATGATGGCCCGACTTACTCTATTTTTAGTCTATATTATTCGTGGTAAATTATAAGAATTTATTATTTAATCGATTAAAAATATTATTTTATTTATATTTTCGTGGTAGGCTACTTAATTAACTTAATAGATAAGGTGAACGTGTTTGAACGTTTTGTAATACTCCAGGCTCGTAAATCAGATATTTTTCGAATATGTCGGCCTTGGGCCTTTGTAGAATCGTCTAAATCACATTTAGTTTTTAAATTACAGGAAACGGCTTTTTAGTTTTGAATAAACAGGATTTTAATGATGGAATCGAAGTAGATTACGTGTGAAAAATGAACAAGTGGTGGTGTCGGTGGGGGTTTTGAGTGGCTGCGTTGTACGTTGGCGCTTCTAATACCTAAGTTAAAAACGATTTTGAGCGCTTGAAAACGTGTTATTTTAATTAAAAATAGTGGTTCGGTCGGGTCATCGTTTAAAGACGAGCCGCAAAGAATTACTGACCTGAATGATTAAGTCGGTTTTAGTTAATGCGCTCGGATGTGTTCGAATGGCCGTTGGGCGCCAAATTTGCATATAACGATCCTCTATTCACTTATCTAGAAAAATTTTTTATCGGTAGTGTGTGTGTGTATCCTGATTCGATCGCTGACCTTTCATCGCAGCTACAGGTACAGAACAGCCGTCAACTGTTACAGAAAGGGAGATTTAGAATATGGCACGAAAATACGTGATGTAAGGCTGTGTTTCTGCCATCCATCGATTATCGCCCCATCTGCGTCCAGCACTATCGGCTACGGAGAACTAAATATGAGCTATACATTATATTTTCTGATAGGCATTGCACGCGATGACACGTGTCCAGGGTACGTAATGTGTCCAGGTGCTGTGTTTATTGTTCGAACAGATAGTTCCACGAAGGGGAAGTATGCGGGGGAAAAGGAAAATTAACATGGAGGGGCTACTAATTTCTGTTTGTTTATGGCCTTTGCAGCGTTTCCTAGAAGGGTTACTTTTTCCGTAACCCAGCTATACGGCGTATTGTCACGTGATGATGGAAATAACCAAATATGCCTTTTTCAACTTATAAAATGGCTTCTCGTTACGGATAGGAATTTACTTCCGAAAAGTATCGACGATTCTTAATGCCCGATCGCTCCGTTGCATATGTAATGGCGACTGCTGCATTTACATTAACAACCGCCACACATAAAAAATTGATTTGAACTCGACCTTCATAATAGATCCGATAAAATCCATCATAATGGAAAGATCGTATCGCCGTCGAAAAATCATCAAATTATCAGAATATATCGTGTCGTGTTTTTTTCCTTTCTTCGATGGAGAAACTCATCACGTCATAAATTTTTATCTCGTACGCCGAATTAATTGTAAACATTAATTTTAAACGATGCTTATAGCGCAATACGGAGAATTTGGAGATTACTATTGTAATTGTTCGACTCAATCTAATTATCTAGAAAATTAAAAAAGGTAGTTAGAAATGGCTACAAACTGCGACGATTTGTTATGAATACAAATTTGTCGGCTATCTGATATTTTGTTTCGAGATTAATGATACATTCGCTAAGTGCATCTTGTCCGCGAGACAGTTGGTTGCCACAGCAACTATTATGCCAAAATATCAAAGAATAATAAGTTAATCTTATTTAAATGACATACAATGCAGGAATATATATATATATATATACCGTACGCCCTTTAAAATTCTCCAACGTAGCGAACAAATTTCCGGATTAGAGCGATATAATGAAGAAATGAGTCGAGTATGGTAACGGGGTATGTACATAAATATTTATGCGGTTCTAACACCTGGTTAAAATGGGGTCTAATGCGTAGATCTATGGTTTTTTAGGTCCGGATACAGCTGCACGGTCTGTGGC